ATGGTTTTGTAAAGGCTTTTTAGTTAAAAGCACTTATATAGCTTGTGAGTTTGTTTACATGGGTAAACAAAGTCAGAGGTGAAGGTAGGGGACAGAGGACAACCAGGGACTGACATTAAATTCTTGCCGTATACCTGCCCCTACATGCTTTATACATGCTTTATACACACAATTTCTTCTAATTTTCTCGTGGCCCAGTGAAGTAGGTGGCATTATTCCCATTGTAGAGATGAGGAAAGTGGGGTTTTTAAGTAACTTGCTCAAGGTCACACAGTTCATAATTTTTTTTTTTTAAGACAGAGTCTCGCTCTTGTCGCCCAGGCTGGAGTGCAGTGGGGCCATCTGGGCCCACTGCAACCTCTGCTTCCCGAGTTTAAGCGATTCTCCTGCCTCAGCCTCCCAAGTAGCTGGGATTAGAGGCACGTGCCACCACTCCCGGCTATTTTTTGTATTTTCAGTAGAGACAGCGTTTCACCATGTTGGTCAGGCTGGTCTGGAACTCCTGACCTCGTGATCTGCCCACCTCAGCCTCCCAAAGTGCTGGATTACAGGTGTGAGCCACTGCACCTGGCCTAGTTCATATTTTTTTAAAAAAAGAAACAGTGTTGACATAGGCAGCAAAGTTTTATTGAATGAAATGAAGATATTGTGTATAGAAGTTTGATTATGGCATGGTGGAAAATAAATCATTGCTAATTAGCACTTGAGTTATGTATCTGTTACCTTATTTGGCCTGGAACTAATTTTCTTAGCAATATTTGCAGCAGAGGAAGCTCCTGATTGATGAGCATCCAATTTATGCCCAGAAATACTGTTGCTGGGAGGGTAGGAAGCATTGTTTTAACTCCCTTGTCTACCCTGGGGGGCAAGAGAGACTTCCAGTAATATTTTCTCTAGTGCAAATAGGGTTGACCTGTTACAGAGGATCTCTAAGTCACTTCATCCTGCCAGATTCACGTCGTTTGTGCTTTCCATCCGTTCCCATCTCCCTCATACATTCTACCTTTAAAATAACTCCTTGGCTCCTCCAGGTAGGGAAGAGCCAAGTGGGTAGGACTGAGATGTATACAAGGCACTCCGAGTTCTCAGAATACAGTCTCTCACAGAAGCTGTTATGATACTTAAGGCTTCTTGGAATAGTAACTTTGCACCGTATTTTAGAATCACTGTAGATTTTGTGCCTTCTGAATGCTGGCATGGGAAATGAACCATTATTTTATAATATTTTTAAGACAGTTTAGTGTTCCAAGTAAGAAACTTAGAAATGAAGTTGACAGTGACA